GCTTAATGTCAAAGCGTTTGTTAATGTGCATGCCACGCTAGCAACTATTGATATATGATATCCGAGAAACAGGACGGCACGCTACTTAGTTATAATATAGTAATTATATGTCATTAGCCACCCTACACTTACCATGTGTTTGGTGTTTTGGGGGAGTACACTAAAGACATTCAAGCTTTTCTTGGAAATTAGTAACTGGTTAAAAGCCTTATGGTGTGCAAACTAGCGTGGTGTTACCATCGTGAAAAGAAAGTGGCTTACTAATGAGTGAGTGTGTGAGTTTGGTGTAACGCCGCTTTTAACATTATTCCAGTTATATCACGGCGTGTCAGCTTAATGTGGGAGGAAAGCTCGAAGTGATGCAGGTCTCAGACGTTTACCACTTCGGTGAAACCCACGAGCACGGGTATGGTGCTGACAAACATGGAAACATAATTGGAGCAAACCGGTATTCGAACCCACAATCATTGGTTTCTGGCGTGCCCAAGGGACGCAACTCTTCACAGCGAATCGCGGCGCCTTAGACGACTGGGCCACCCGTGCCCCCGGCTTACTAATGACTAGTTATAGATTTGTAATATATATATATATATATATATAACATATAAAAGCCAATGACAGCATCGCGAACTAGTACGTCATTGTGCGTAAATGAAGTCAGTAGTTGAACAAAAGTTCAGCTTCATAATTCGTAAACGGTTGAAATTTAGGTTACAATAACAGAAAGCTCACGGGGTCTTTTTGCGACCGCGATTTCCGTATTATATTGACACAACTGAATGAGTTCAAAAAGGTTCATGATAATGTTGTTGACAGCTATATTTGATGACATAATATTTCAGTATTTGTGTCATTTACCTCGATTCTGATTGCTCTTGCAAAGTATCTTGATTTTGTAATGAACGTTTCTAACCTTATTTACACTCATAGTGAACGTATATGTTGCATTGACAAAAAATAATAATTCATCTGATGTAACATTATTACAAACGTTATTTCAACTGTTGGGGTTTAGGTCAAATTACAGACGGCTCACGGGGTTCTGTTTGTGACCGCGATTTCTGTATCATATTGACATAACGTAATAAATACAAATCAAAAAGATTCACGATAATGATATTAATAACTCTACTTGATGATATGATATTTCAGTATTGGTGTCATTTATCTCGATTCTGAGGGCTCTTGATTTTTAAATGAACGTTTCTTACCTTTACACTTATAGCTAACGTGTATGTAGCATTGACGAGAATAATTCATTATTTGATGTTTAAAGTATTTCAAACGTGACCTTTTTTTGAACAAATAACACGATGACATGTATAGCACATTGAAATATTTCTTGGTAACAACGGAAATTGACAAAGATTAAATCGATCTGACTTAGCAACTATTTATTTCTTTTAAGAAAAAGCTCAAGATTTTTAAATACCAAAATATGTCGTGGTAATGGTTTGTACACGCAGAGATCTACCCAGAAAATTACAAATTTACAAAGTATTCTTTCCTGTAACTACACTGGCGCCGAGTCGCGACCTTTGTGTCGCACATCTGGTGTTTGTTATTGTGTATTGCTGTGATTCATGCGCTATGCAAGGTTCAACTTGCTAATACGTCATAGTCTGTAACTGAACTCAATAGTTGAACAAAAGTTCAGCTTCATCATTCGTAAACGGTTGAAATTTAGGTTACAATAACATAAGGCTCACGGGGTCCTGTTTATGTCCATTGTTTCGTCATCATATTGACGATTTTACACCATGCGATCTTATACCCACTGAGACACCATGTCGCAGTTTAACATGAATACCCCACTCGGACACAGTTTACTGACTCCTAGGCGACCAGGCCTTGTTTTAGCCCCTTAATGTCGAACGCCAGGCAGGGTAACAACAAGTAACATCTTTTATCGTCTTTTGGTTAGACGCGGCCGGGATCGAACGCCAACCTCCCGCTCTCCGGGCGGACACTCTACCAGTAGACCACGGATGCGGTCCACAACGTAATGGATATATTATATATCTAAACGATTCATGAGAATGTTAATAGCTATATTTCCTTGCTTTAAATTCAGTATTTGTGTCATTTATGTCGATTCCGAAACAATGAAAGCGACAAAACCGTTTCAATATTCTCGCCAAAAGTAGAGTCGATTATAGGATTCCGACTACATAATGAGCATGTGTTTATTACCACCGGAAACAATAAACCCAAGTATGACGTCCGAGGTTTGGTACCTCCTGTACTCTTGGTTACAGATAATATGGGTGCCAAGGTTCTCCACCGAGAGCACATCTCTTCTGACAATCTCGGTAATGCACAAGGCTGCTGTGTTGAGTCTCTGATTGTCTCTGCCAATCTCGGTAATGCACAAGGCTGCTGTGTTGTGTCTCTGATTGTCTCTGATTGTCTCTGACAATCTCGGTAATGCACAAGGCTGCTGTGTTGAGTCTCTGATTGTCTCTGACAATCTCGGTAATGCACAAGGCTGCTGTGTTGAGTCTCTGATTGTCTCTGCCAATCTCGGTAATGCACAAGGCTGCTGTGTTGTGTCTCTGATTGTCTCTGATTGTCTCTGACAATCTCGGTAATGCACAATGCTGCTGTGTTGAGTCTCTGATTGTCTCTGACAATCTCGGTAATGCACAAGGCTGCTGTGTTGAGTCTCTGATTGTCTCTGACAATCTCGGTAATGCACAAGGCTGCTGTGTTGAGTCTCTGATTGTCTCTGACAATCTCGGTAATGCATAAGGCTGCTGTGTTGAGTCTCTGATTGTCTCTGACAATCTCGGTAATGCACAAGGCTGCTGTGTTGAGTCTCTGATTGTCTCTGACAATCTCGGTAATGCATAAGGCTGCTGTGTTGAGTCTCTGATTGTCTCTGACAATCTCGGTGATGCATAAGGCTGCTGTGTTGATGAGTCTCCATCTCTTCCGGAAATGTCTTGGTAGATTCGACTTGCGAGTGCTTCCTAGACGCCAGTTCCATTGTGACTAAGCATGGTTCCAGCCAGCTCTCTGCGGGGGACGCCAGAAATAGGCTTCACATATTGTATCTGAACTGAACTGAATTCACTTTCAGGCCGTGGTCCGCGACATTAGAAGGCCACATACACATACAATACAAGTACAGTACACGCTTATAACGAACTGGAGGATATAACGAACTGACTTATTTGGTCCCAGCATTTTGCTGTATATATGTTGTATATATGTTTATAACGAACTACGGTTATAACGAACTAAAATTAGTGGGTTATAACCGTAGTTTACTGAACAACATGCGGTGTCATTCAGAGGAGAGACAACGTGCAACATAACAAATAATAGTTCATACAAGATATAAATTAGCATATTATCTAAATTGTTGCGTGATAATTTTGCAGAAATTAATATATTTAACATTCATATTTCTTAGTGGAAAAAAGGAATGCAAAATTGGGAATGTTGGGATATTTACGATAATATAATGGGATACAAATATATCTCTGTTCTTTAAGAAATGGTCAGATTAACAGATAATGAAACTCATCACCGATGTCCCTGGGATCACATTATGGACGCAATCTATTTGTTTATAGTATTTTGTTCCATCTGCCTTTTTTTCAATTGGAAGTCGATGATTTGAAGTTCAAAACTGACATATTGGTATTCAATATTTATTATCCACAATTTTAAGATATAATTAAAACATAAATCACATTTAATTAACTTTTCATTTTTGGCCTCGAAAATACAATTATGTTAGGAGAACAGTATGCCAAGACTTACCAAGTATATTCAATTTTCTGAAACAACATATGACAATATATTTCACATGAGAGTCCTTGCAGTCATTTAGAGGGAGGTGGGGTAGCATTGTGCCCTAGGTTCGATTCCCTACATGGGTGCATTGTGTTTAAGCCCATTTGTGGTGTCCTCCACCGTGATATTGCTGGAATATTGCTTAAAGCGGCGTAAAACCACATTCACTCACTTAATGTCACTAAGAAGTTGGATATATAGAGGACAATACGTGTTATTATGGATAACCTGCTTCGCTCGAGGAAAGGGAAAGAAGCATGTACAATAAAGAAGTTGTTATCCATTAACATAGTCTTTGGCAAGTATATAATTCACATGCCATGCAATATATTTGACGGAATATTTTTTTTATTGTCTGCCAATCACCACTAAAATCCAGGAAATGAACTATCAGCTAATAGCATTAAGAACAAGATTTCATGTAGTCGATTGATTTTTTAAATTAATTATCTTACTTTTCAAGGCAAATATATGCAAACTATATAGCCACATGGCTGTATGTATTGATAAACAATTAAACCATCAAAACAGAGACCTCAGAGCATTATATAGCCATAATCTTGGATGGACTTTGGAAGTTCTTCTACCTGTGAACGTGTACCACAATCTAACCTACTTTTAACTCCCTGAATATAAACAAAACGACCCGCGTACAGGCATCAATAGTATGGCTCAATAATTCGGTTAAGGAAATAGGTCAAGTTATATATATAGATAGGCTTATGCACGTAGTAATGCCTGACAGCATTGAGATTCCAATAGCGGTCTATTACACACCGCGTTATTCATTCTCGGTCACATGCAACTGTTTCAAATTTTACTCTACCTTTTAACTACAAATTGTTATTATTTTTGTCAACCTCCACTACACAGATTCCAATGATAGATGGATATATATATAGTGCCCTAAGTCACCTCGACCGAGAGTTATCGATTGTTCACTCTCAATTCAAGCTTACAAGTATTCGTAACGTTTAGCATAACTTATTCTCCACTGTATAACAAGCCGTCAAATGAAAGTATGTCTGATGTATCTTTTATGCTGGGAGCGATATGCGCTTCTGTTGTTTTCTTTGTACGGCCTATTCAGGTCACACCTGACATGAGAGGTTGAACCAGTCTTACCTCGTGACCTAGTGAGCTAAAGATATTCAGTGACCCAGTCAGGTCATGTGGCTATTCCAATTGGTGGCGTTCCACCCTCGTTAGCTGTCTACAAATTTAAGAACGGGGTGGTGGTGGTGTCTTTTATCCACGAAACACTGATACATAAGGATCGGGATTTATTATATCACGAGATATGGCAGAGTCGGGGTTACTTCGGTTTGCTTCGGTTTCCTTCATATACAGGTAAGAATGCTTGCCTGCATGCATCCAATAGAATAAAATGCACTGTCATGGATATATATGTAATCTAAGAAATGACACATGGGTAGGCCTTTGGGAAGGATTTATATGATATTATGATCGATGTGCACCTGAAAATAGAATGTGTAAAACCGGTCGGACTTTGCGACACTCCACACCCCGTATCTAATTAAACAAACATTGCGAGGGTTGTCGGGATACGACCCAATTCGGGGGCTGATGAATGCATTTCCGCGATTTTCTCCACGAAGAATGTTCCGAAATTACAGTCGTGGGTGATACTTATGACTATTGCACTAACTACAGATGGGAATTGTTGAGCACAAAATATAATTGTAGAGAAGCTAATTACCGATGAAAATTACATTGCCCGGTGATCATCAGGCCACAGGCTTCAATTACATGCGTGTGCGTGCGTGCGTGCGTGCGTGCGTGTGTGCGTGCGTGCGTGCGTGCGTGCGTGCGTGCGTGTGTGTGTGTGTGTGTGTATTTGTGTGTGTGTGTGTGTGTGTGTGTTTGTGTGTGTGTGTGCGTGCGTGTGTGCCAGTCCTAGTTGTATGTCAAGGTGATCTTCAGGCCGCAGGAGTGCGTGCCCCTCAATTATATGCGTGTGTGCGTGTGTGTGTGTGTGTGTGTGTGTGTGTGTGTGTGTGTACTAGTTGTATGTCCCGGTGATCTTCGGGCCGCAGGGATACTCATCCCCGACGTGCACATGTGTGTGGTGTGTGGTGTGTGGTGTGTGGTGTGTGGTGTGTGCGTGTGGGGTGTGTGCGTGCGTGTTCACCACACGGCTATAGCAAACCACGCCCACCGTTTTTGATAATTTGAATGTAAATGTACTTTGACATTTTGAAGTGAACCTAATGTTGTACTGTCTGAATATAAAGTGTGTTAATGCCTGTACAGTATAATCAAATATAAGTGTACAAAGGAAATCTAGCAGCGAGACAATTTGTTGATGATGTGAGTTATCTGGGTTATGACGTCATGTGCAGACAGGCCAATGATGAAGGAAGCAATTACCAGCCCCACGTATATCGTCTCCTTCACGCCTCATTCTCGTCTGCACCAAACCAGCCCCACCTTCATTCACGAGAACAGCCAACAATCCCTACCCGCGTATGCGACCACGCCCATCCGGGTACGCCGCCCAGAACCCCCCCCAACCACCCACGTATGCCACCACGCCTACCATCTATCCCCCTACAACCAGCCAACCCCACCCATGCATGCCACCACGCCCATCCACCCGTCATCCCCGCCTACAACCTCCCCACCCAAGTATGCCACCACGTCCACCATTTATACCCGCCTACAGCCAACCAAACCCCACCCACATATTCCACCACGCCCCTCATTCATCTCCACCTTCAGCTAAACACACCAACCCACGCATGCCACCTCGCCCACCATTCATCCCCGCCTACAGCCAACCAACCCCTACCCACATATTCCACCACGCCCATTATTCATCTCCATCTACAACCAACCACGCCCACCCACGTATGTCACCACGCCCACCCATTGCCATAAGACAAATGCCATAACTCTATTTAATTCTCGATGCTTGGTTTCGAACTGTGTTTACATTCTCCAAGTAAAAATTGAGTAAGTATGCGTGAGGTAATGTTGTACATTCAAGGCATTTGTAGATATGATAACAGATCTTCGAAATTGTTTATGGATAACTGTTGGGAAAAATTATTAAGAATTGTTCCTTTTAACTGAGTGTACCAAATTGTTTATCATGATTGAAGAATATTTTTGATTCCCTTTCTTGGTTTTATTTTATACAAGACAGTGCATAATGTTGCTCATCTTCTTAGACATCACCTGTTTCATCTCTAAGATATCACATGTTTCACAGAGACGTTGTTCCAATGGGGTTGGTCTTTTAGTATATCTATCAGTTTAAAAAATTAGTTTGTGATTACTTAAACGACGTTTTTAGAAATATGACCTATGAGCTTTGTTTTTACTATAATTATGTAAGATAATTCTCAATATTTCTAGATGACTTGACCAAGTTCTTAACTTGCTGTTGGATAAATTGGAATCCCTTAATGAATGCTTGAACATAAGTTATTTTTACATTTGGACTGAAGTTTATTTACAGTGGATTCATTACATTTATTTGTGTTTACTATTTCAAAAGTTTGTTTTATTTTACCCAGCCAACATTTTGACCAGAAATATTGATATTTGCTGCCAAAGTATGTTTAAGAATGCCATTTGCTATATTGGACTTGTAATCAATTTTAATTCATATTATTGGTACTAATAGTGGGGATATACCAAGTTCTGCCTGGCATCTAGGGAATGTCGATGTAGAATTGTAGCTAATGATATTATTAAGCTTGTCTTCTTCTATTGTACATTGAATATGAATGACAGAAATGAACTATTTGAAATTATTTGTGATGTGATAGATGTCTCTACATTTGCAAGACTATGTAGTGAGGACGATGATATAATCCTGTCTGTACTACTTGGCGGTATGCCTGAGTGTGTTAGCTCTTTATCTCAAAGTCTATGGGGTGACCTTATGGTTATTGTGTCAAGATACTGTAGGAAATGGCTGTATCTGTTACAAAACAGTTATAAGAATGCTTGATTGTCATGCGTTTTGTAGTTATCATTTTTCATAATATTGTTAATTTGTACTACTGTACAGCTCTGTTATTATACATAATATCATATATGATATGTATCTTCAATATCTGGAGGAAATAAAGAATATCTATCTATCTATCTATACAATACGAGTACAGTAAACTACGTTTATAAAGAACACGCTTATAACGAACTGGTGGATATAACGAACTGGCTTTTTTGGTCCCAGCCATTTGCTGTATATATGTTGTATATATGTTTATAACGAACTACGGTTATAACGAACTAAAATTAGTGGTCCCTTTGAGTTTGTTATAACCGTAGTTTACTGAACAACATGCGATGTCATTCTGGGGACAGGCAGTGTTGCAGCATAAGAAATAAGAGTTCATACAAGATATAAATTAGCATATTATGTAAATTGTTGCGTGATAACTTTGCAGAAGTTAATATATTAAACATTCCTATTTCTTAGTGGAAATGCAAAATTGGGAATGTTGGGATATTTACGATAATATAATGGGATACAAATATATCTCTTTTCTTTAAGAAATGGGCAGATTAACAGATAATGAAACTCATCACCGATGTCTCTGGGATCACATTATGGACGTAATCTATTTGTTTATACTATTTTGTTCCATCTGCCCTTTTTAATTTTAAGTCGATGATTTGAAGTTCAATAATGACATGTTGGTATTCAATATTTATTATCCACAATTTTAAGATAGGATTAAAACATAAATCAGTTTTAATTAACTTTTCATTTTTGGCTTTGAAAAAACCAATTATTTTAGGAGAACTGTATGCCAAGATATTTGTATGTATTTGCGCTTTGTAAAACAACACAACATAGCTTAAAAACGTGCTTGTAATCTTTCTTTGTGCCGTTGAATATAAGAGCTTTAGTTTTTCTCGAATCTATAGCTAATATGTTTTGCTTACAGAACTCTGCAAATATATTCATGGTATACGGGGATCATTAGCATTGTCTGAAATCAGGAGAGTATCGCCTACATCGTCCCAAGTATAACAAAAAAACATTGATGTCGAGCATCAAAGTTCCCCGCCATATGTGATGCCTCACAAACGCATGATTATTATGTTACTGAAAGGCATGAAGGAGCATAATTATATTAACCACAAATAACACAACGCTGTTGTGGAAAAAAATATTATTTATTTTGAGTATTGGGCAATACAGTTGATACATTTGCATAGGGTAGGTCTATTTAAAAATGGTTTCTTGTTTAACGCCGCACTCAGCAGTATTCCAGCCATATGACGGCGGTCTGTAAATAATCGAGTCTGGACCAGATAATCGAGTGATTGACACCAAGAGCATCGAACTACGCAATTGGAATATGATGTTATGCATCGATCAAATCGGCGAGCCTGACTACCAAATCCTGTTCGTCGCCTCTTACGGCAAGCATGGGTTGCTGAAGGCCTATTCTAACCTGGGTCTTTATTTTAAAAGTAGATCGAAGGAAACGGAAGCAATCTCTGGCACAAATGTAAACATGTGGAAATAGTATCATTCTTTTTACACTTGGCATTTGGTTATAATACTATACATGAAAATACTTAGGGCTCCATATGGCAAACAAGTCATACTAGATAAGGTCTTTTTGTCACAATCACAGATGCACATACTCAAAATATTATCACGTACTTGGAGAACATTTCAATACCGGGACTAATCAATAACGGAGATTCCTCGTCTCTTGTTTTACGTTTTTTGGTCAGTTTCTTTTCTGTATTTCTTTCTTTCAAAGAATAGTAATTTTGATCACGATGAGGTGAGTAACTGGTTTTTTTTCCAGTGTCAGTAACTGTTGTGGAATGTGGTTAACTTGTAACAATGACTGGTTTGAGTTCATATGATGATGATTGATTGGTTTGTCGTTTAACGCCACACTCAGGAATATTCCAGCTATATGACGGCGTTCTGTAAATACTCGAGTCTGGACCAGACAATCCAGTGATTAATATCATGAGCATCGATCCACGCAATCGGGATCGATGCCATGCATCAACCAAAGCTTGACCACCCGATCCCGTTAGTCGCCTCTTTCGACGAGCATAGTCGCCTGATATACTGTTAAGATGTAACATAACAATTCATCCATACTACTAAACAGAAGAAAAAATGCTTGTCCATTCGGATCAGTCTGACCCACACCATTCCACTGATGAGAGTCAAATAATGTATATGAATCAAAATCCGTAAAAATTGCAATGGAGACATCATTAAAAGTTACCAAAAGTGACTGGGATATCAATATTGCTTGTTGAAATGATTCTATGAAATTTGTTTTCCCTGCTTCAATATTTGGAGCACCTGTGACGGGGCCATAAAACTGATC